GAAAAGTTGTAATTTCTTCACTAAGCAAGAAATCGTATTCAGTGTTATTCTGCCACAACTTGCCTTATTTAGACTTTTTGGGGGCCACGTAGAAAAAGAAACACGACCGAAATGAACAAAACTGGGCATGATGACATTTAAACAACCGACAGACTTTACATTATCAAAAGCCGAACATTGGCCCACATGAAAGCAACGATATTTACGCTTTTGAATCGTTTCTAAATTGGATAGGGATGATCTTCGATATTCAGATCGATGCACTCCTACACTATATGGAACTTGAGGACGATTAAATATATGGATCCTTCAACACTGATACAGGCTCTGATCAACAGGTAACTCCTTGATAATGCCATTCAGGTCTTCAATCATTTCTAATTAAAATTTATAATTATACATCGAAGGTCCGTTTTTCACTGGCAAAATCGAAAAGCCGGCAAGAATATATTCGAGTATTGCCTGATCTAGTTTAACACACCGTACTTCTGGAAACGAAATGCTCAATATGAGATCAATGTTGGTCCCACCGATATGTCAGAAAAATTAACCCCACCCCAAATTCACACCAAAAGAAGCAAATAACGATCACCCATTAACATGATCAGGTAAAAATACAAATGCAGGAACAGCGGTCTTCTGATGGAAAATCAGCCAGCAAAACAGATGAAAATCGAGCGAATATCGGGGTTCCACGCCAGTTTTCTCCCAGTAGCGTCAGACGAGTACAAGGATTGCGCTTCGATATGGTATAAACGATCTGCTTTATTGCAGCTGAAGGGGTTGACACCGTAGCCTATAGAGACTGACACATTGTTGAATTGATCAAATCGGGAAATGATAATTATCCTGAATGGCCACTCGTCTAGATCATTTCCTATTAATATGGGTGTACACCGGAGCTCCATATTTGGGCCTACTTTTGTTTTTATTTCTCATTAATGTTATGGGGTCCACCCCTTTTTCATACAAGTGGACTCGACCAGTGTATACTTGGACTGCTGCCGTTAAATACCGAGAGTCAGTCAGAGTAGAAAGAGCAGAGATTGTGATTGAGTTGGAGGTAGAGTAATAGTGTGAGGTAACCGCTTGTAGAAGTCACAGTTACAAGTACGTAGACTCTAAGGAAGTCCTACTTAGAGACTGCATTTACCAGACTATATATATATATATATATATATATATACACAATGTAACCCGAATATAAGAGAAACCCGGATATAAGAGAAACCCGGATATAAGAGAGATTTTCTCTGGTCCCAAATTAGAGCCTGTGTTAATGTATATAAAATAGACCAAACCCGGATATAAGAGACTTCTTCTCCGGTCCCGACAACTCTCTTATATCCGGGTTACACTGTATATTATTATTGCTACTAACCGCGTTTCTGGATCTACTAACCGTATTACCAATTGTATTATTGTGTAAATACATTTATTTGTTATATTTCATTCCTGTGTTTGTCATTCATTGGAGACCTAATTTCATCTCGGAATCCACAGCAATTAACGACCTTCCTGATGGCATCAACTCTGAATTTGGTATCTAGCTGATAGTAAGGCTGATCAGTTCGATAAAGTTAAAATGGCTGCCGATGTTCAAAATGATCTCAAGTCCGTTGTTAATTGGGTCAAAAGATGATTCGTTAATTTTAACACCTTCAAAGCTAAACTTCTCTCCATTAATCATTTGAGAGACCCCTTTCTGCTTTCCATCAGTCTGGCTGATGCTAATCTCCAGGAAAGTAACTCGTTGTACCTTCTCGGACATGAAGTGGAAAGATTATATTGAATCTATTGCTAGATCAGCTGCTAAGAAAGTCGGTTTAATTTTTCTCTCCAGAATCTGTCTTATATATCTATAAGTCTACCATTCGTTCATGCTTAGAATATTCCTGTCACATATGGTCCGGTGCCCCTGCTATTTACCTTGAGCTCATTGATAAGGTCCAACGAAGAATCAGCAATATTATTTGTCCTGATCTAGCATCTCTACTTCAGTCACTTTTCCCACTTCCGTAAGGTTGCCTCCCTGTGCCTTTTCTATAAATACTTCCAAGGTAATTGTTTGGGTGAGCTCTTCGCTATGGTACCTTGACTTTTTCATATGATTTAAAGTAAGCGCAGTACCAGGTTGATGTTGAGATCTCATCAATTTAAAATCGGGTTGGCTAGATGTAACCGTAAATTCTATGCTAACAGTTTCTTTACTCACACTTCTCGCTTGTGGAACTCCTTCCTGCTCTTTCATTTTCAGCCAATTTTAATCCTCAAAAATTAAAATGCAATCTCAATCGCTATCCGCTGATTATTCTCCTCCTCCCCGTTAATCATTAATGGTTCTGTTCGTAATTAATCCACACTATAACCACTTGTGTCTAAGTAGTTATACTATTTTTTAGGCAAATTCACCACATTCAAGGCAATAAAACCGCTGAGACACATGCAGTTATTGGGCGTGGAAGAGTTAGAAAACAGAAACATTATTAAGGCGCGAATATATATCAAGAGTAATCAGGTGGACAGCAAATAACAATTGACGTTGCATTTAAACGTTTGCAGATTAAAGGTGGCTGAAAAGCCTGGAGCCAGAAGGGAGTTCCACAAGCGAGAAGTGCGAGAGAAGAAGCTGTTAGCATAGAACTTGCGGCAACATCTGGCCAACTCAACTGTATGTCAATGAGACCGCATCACAATTCTAGTACTGTGCTTAAATTCATAAAGTCGAAGCAAAAGTAGGAGTAATAGATAGCGGCTTGGATTGGAGAATCGGAGAGCCGAGTTCGAATTCCATTCAAATCCATTACCTTCATTTACGTGCTAATACCCTTGAGAAAGGTATGAATTCTCTTATTCTCCCCCAGCTATGGGTAAATAACAGGACAGACCAGGTTCTCTAGCTTTGGATGGCAACTGGTCTACTGCAGAAAGTAATGGCAAACTACTGCGGGAAAAATCTGCCTTGTCAGTCATGTATCGAAAGGTACATGATCGCCTACGCGTGTATCATGCCTGGCACATAACTGACCTTAGTGAAGATATCATCCGAGCAAAAGTTTATAGAAAATGACACTGGGAGGCAACTTTACGGCAGTGGTAAAGTGACTGTATAAAAGAGAAACCTTTTCTCTATATTAGCGACATTCACATTCTTGACAACTATCAGGCAGGCAACATCGCTTCAATTTAATGAAATCATTCATTTTAGATCTATTTATTTTCCCACTCTTATCATCAAGGACACTAATTAACGTTCAATCTCTCGATATTAAAAACTATCATTTCAAAGATGGCTGGCCTAAAAAGAACATCAACTTCCGGTTACATCCTGGTTTACCGGTTTTTTCCACCAACTTATTTTTGCTTTATATTTCTGTTTTATATATGAATACATTCTTCCTTTTCCTTACACCCACCACAACCCCAACACTTCTTTTATTCTCGTCTTTTATTTCTCTTTCGACGCCGTCATTGCTTTCTTCTTTTCTTCTTCTTCTACTTTCTCCTCCTCCTCTTCTTCTTCGTCCTCTTTCTCATCGTTTTCTTCTTCTTCATCCCCTTTTCCTCCTCCTTCTCTTCTTCTTCTTCTTCTCTGATATATTCCGTTTCTTTCCCAATCCCTTCTTCTTCTTCTTCTTCTTCTTCATCTTCTTCTTCTTCTTTCCCAATCCCTTCTTTTCCTTCTTCTTCTTCTTCTTCTTCTTCTTCTTCTTCTTCTTCTTCTTCTTCTTCTACCGTTTCTTTTCCCAATCCTTCTTTCTCTCTCTTCTTCTTCTTCCGTTTCTTTCCCAATCCCTTCTTCTTCTTCTTCTTCTTCTTCTTCTTCTTCTTCTTCTTCTTCTTCTTTCCCAATCCCTTCTTTTCCTTCTTTTCTTCTTCTTCTTCTTCTTCTTCTTCTTCTTCTTCTTCTTCTTCTTCTTCTTCTACCGTTTCTTTCCCAATCCCTTCTTCTTCTTCTTCTTCTTCTTCTTCTTCTTCTTCTTCTTCTTCTTCTTCTACCGTTTCTTTCCCAATCCCTTCTTCTTCTTCTTCTGTTTCTTTCCCAATCCCTTCTTCTTCTTCTTCTTCTTCTTCTTCTTCTTCTTCTTCTTCTTCTTCTCTGTATTCCATAAGGACCTTCACTGTTTCTTTCACAATCCCAATTTCCGAATGGATGATGTCATCTTAGCTGGCTTGCATCCAGTCCTGGGAAAAATCCCACACTCTGATATCCATAATCATCCACCCGCTATGCCATTACACATCCTACGATAACGATCAGTACAAATATTTACTATTTCCCGCCTTCTCTCTCTCTCTCTCTCTCCCTCTCTCTCCCTCTCCCTCTCTCTCTCTTTCTCTCTCTATCTCTTGCACCCTCTTCTTCTCTTTCAGCATCTGCTTTCTGGAAAGTTCCAAAAGAGGCCTGACTCTAACCAAGCCTAGAGGCCAAGTCCTGACAAGCGAAGGCGAAATCCGAAATTTCCGAATGACCATTTGCGGATCGTAATTGAAGCCTTCAGGAGGAGGGACAAGGGAATTAGAGAGAGAGAGAGAGAGAGCGGTAGACAGAGGCAGATTCACAAATAGGACACTTCCGCGTGTTTGCACGTCTCTGGCCGTGAACACCTTATCTTATTCCGTAATAAGCATATCGATTATTCGCGACTGGTCACTTTTTCTGTTTGCCTTCCTATTTTCTAGAGAAAATCTATACAACTGATAAACACTGAATATTGTCGACTTCTTCGAATTGTATCCGCCGTCAACTTTCTTTTTTTTTTTCTTTTTTTTTTGCTTTTATTTTATTTTATGGATCAGGCACACGACAGTAAAAAGCTTTGAAGAAAGAAATAGTTATCCTATATTATACAAATATCGGATTATACTTTATTTGAGGAAAACTGAATATTGACTAGTGCGAAACTTCTTTGTAGGGTAAATCTGTTGACATTCGATAGACGTGTCACCTAGAGTCGCTTAAGACGACATCACTATCGACGAATGTGACAGAAAAGTGGTCAAATTATCCCACAGATAGATAGATAGATAGATAGATAGATAGATAGATAGATAGATAGATATACTATGAACATAATTAGATACGAACAGGATGAGATAGATAGATAGATAGATAGATAGATAGATAGATAGATAGATAGATAGATAGATAGATATACTATGAACATAATTAGATACGAACAGGATGAGATAGATAGATAGATAGATAGATAGATAGATAGATAGATAGATAGATAGATAGATATACTATGAACATAATTAGATACGAACAGGATGAGATAGATAGATAGATAGATAGATAGATAGATAGATAGATAGATAGATAGATAGATAGATAGATAGATAGATATGCTATGAACATAATTAGAGATGAATAGGATGAGATAGATAGTTTAACATAATTAGATAGATAGATAGATAGATAGATAGATAGATAGATAGATAGATAGATAGATAGTTGAACATAGATAGATAGATATATAGATAGATAGATAGATAGATAGATAGATAGATAGATAGATAGATAGATAGATATGCTATGAACATAATTAGATATGAATAGGATGAGATAGATAGATAGTTTAACATAATTAGATAGATAGATAGATAGATAGATAGATAGATAGATAGATAGATAGATACCAATGCTAAACATTGAATTGAACATTTGCTTTTATCCCTTTCAATCTTGTTTACCTTTGAGCCACGATTCTTCTTTCGAAGTCAGCGGAAAACAATAACCGCCGTCTTTCATTGACCCATAGACAACACTTGACGCTATTGACTGCAGCTCAACGTGATCATTAAACACTTGAGCCCGGCACAAAGCAGTTTCAAAATATGAAACTCACATATTCCCTTCGACTCCGTACATTATTCTTTTGTTTGCGCGAGCGTGAATGAAAGTCAAGTTTATTTGTATAAATCTTTTATTATTATTATTATTCAATTTTCATTCCTGGCACTTGACTATTAGTATTAAGGATACCATTTTTTATTTAGCTTTTTGCTTTTACTGGTAAACATCTTATCGCTGGAGGCACTCTTAGGAAACTTTTAATAGCACTTTCGAACCAAACAGAATTACTAATCACGTTGTGAACTGCGTCAAGAGACGAAGGAAAAGTTACGAACTCATCTCCGAACGATGAGAGTCTCCGACACTAGTCTATAGCTCTTGAAGAATTGTTCCTGCTCCGTCATCATCATATTCAAAATTTCTAAATTCTTCGAGTTGTCAGATAACAATGAGATCGCCACTTGCAAAACATTGCCCCAGACTTCTTTAATTTAGCGCCATCATTATCATTTTTCTCGGCTGAAAGGCATCTTTCGGCCTGACAGGAAAGAAAACCTCAAAAAAAAAAAAAAAAAGCGGTAAAAAAATCACGGAAATTGAAATATATATTTTTGCTGCTTCTTAACATATCCACACAGTTGTCTGACGAATCTTTAGAGTCTGCTAAGCAATGAAGATCTCCTTTCGCAAGAGATAAGCTACACACCATGCAAATCTATACTAAATATCTACAGGTTAAGTCCACAATGTAGTGTTATAAAAATAATTTCTGTAGAGTTATGGTTAACGAGCTAGTCAATTGCTAACTAAATAGCTGAACCGACTATGAGTAAATCCTCACTATAAGAAGCCTTACGGCTACATCACGTTAAAACACTGGTTCCCGTACGAACACCGAAGTTAAGCAACGTCGAGCCAGGTCAGTACCTAGATAGGTAACCACCTGAGAATACCAGGTGCTGTAAGCTTGGATGTGCGGGTGGTGTAATAGATAATGGCTCAGAATTGTTAGTCAGAGAGACGAGTTCCAATTCCAGGCGGGTCCGTTATGTGCACTTACGTACAAATACTCTATATATCCAACTTGTCTGCCCCAGTTATATCCAACTTGTATCCCCCAGTTAATTAGTAAGACTTGTATCACCAAAATTATTATCCCCAAATAAAAAAAATTTTTAGAATCTCAAAATATTTTCCGGCTTTAAATAACCTGCAAAGGGTTAATAACCAATAAAAAACGAATCAATCAATCAATCAATGAAATACCAATTAGGTAAACAGTCGTGTCTTTTAGATCTGTTGACATTCAATGGAATATATATATATATATATAGACTAACGGGGCTAGAAACTCAGGGATCAGTTTTTATATTGATGTAATATGAATTTGATCCCCCACTTTATATCCACATAATTTTTCTTCCTCAAATTCTGATTAGGTATGAAGCCACCTCTTCTCCTCCAGTTATGGGTTAATTAGTAAGACTTGTATTGATAAACCATTATTATCATAAAAACTCCTGCAATCTAAAAATACTTTCTGGCTTTAAATAACCCACAATGGTTTGATAAGCCGTAAAGAACGATTCAATCAATCACTATAAGAAGTGAACTAAATCTTAAAGCCAAAGAAAAGATTCCTAATAACCGTGGTAATTATGGAAAGAGCCGTTTCCATGCAGGAAACATTAGCCATCAAACGATCATTCATCATCTCCTTCGGTTGAAATTTCTGAAATATTTTCTTAAAACAATTTCTTTCTTTCAGGAAATTAGATTTCTCAAGTGACCTAGCTGTTATTATTGTTTCTATTATTGATAGGAGTTTCCGTTCAAACCTTTTGTTTTTGGTTGTGTGGAATGCTAACAGCTTGATTATATTATTATTTTCCCTTCGAGTTATATAGGCAACCCATTTTTATTGTCGCTTTTGAAAGTCTCCAAGTTATGTGACTTTAATTTGTTAAAGCTCATTGTTTGTGATTGCGTAGCGCCAGAGTCTAAAGGCTTTCGTGGAGGATAGTCTTCTATAAGATTTAGAGAATTAATTCGTTTGAAACTATTTTAACCCTTATTCTACCTTACCTTAATGAAACTAAAGAATTTGAGATTAGAGTTTCTTCAAATGGAACTGATCCTCGGATGTTCTGTCTGTAAATTATTTTCACCGTCATACCCTTTTAATGAAACTAAGGAAAGTATTTGGGGTTAGACTTTTTTTTTAAAATGAAACTAGACTTTCATTTAAAACGATTTTTCTCCATTGAGCTGTGAAAACTGTTATATAAAAATATTTCTTTACATACACCCTTGAGTTTCCTTTCTTTCATAATACGGCCAGTTTTAGACCAAATGGAGTGACAGTATGCAATCGATTTCTATTTCTCCTCGGATTAAGTCATTTGCAGTGATGTGCAGTAATATGAATCTGTTTTCTATGAAATTTGTTTAGCCTTGAAAAATATTGCGTCATCCGTGATTGCATCAGATTTTCATCACGCCCCAAAACTCTATTGTCTCAACTGTCGATTAGTTGTCCTACGGCCATTGCCTCCGATGGACGTTACTCCAATTGAAGCGTACGAAAATTGTAACGCTACACGAGCACAATGGCAAGCTTTACCAGGGAGCTAATTCAAGTACTATAGATAGGCCTGTAAACTCTTTTGATTTGAATCCAAACGAGAATCCGTGGTTAATCTGCAAGGAATAACTTTGTGAAATGGACATACGAAGTACTAACATGTGCACTGGGTGATGCTTCATCGGAAAAATACGGAAATAGTAAACAATAACTGAATTATTCGTATTATTTCAGTTAATTCGCACAAGGGTGTATGTTGCATGTTCAAGAGTAAGAAATTCTAAGAATTTATTCGTCACTGATAAAATTAATTTGCACAAGGGTATATTTCTGAACGAGTTGAATGTCATGCATGACTGCCATATGAGCGTCTAGATCTGACGAGACAATATAAGTATATGATGTTTCAGGTATTGATCTCCTATACTAAATTCTTTATAACCGATTCCTACAGGGAAAGTGTTTAGAATTAATTTATATTTCACGTTTTATGATAAAAACATATCATCATTACATTCATACCATTTTCCGATATTAGTTTCTGGATTATGTGAAACCCTACTTCTAATGGTAACTATAAACCCCTACGTCTAAGCTCAACAGAATATGTTTTATCTGAAACCCTACTTGTAATGGTAACAATAAACCGCTACGTCTAAGGACAACAGAATATGCTTTATCTGAAAACCTACTTCTAATGGTAACAATAACCCCCTACGTCTAAGGGCAACAGAATATGTTTTATCTGAAACCCTACTTCTAAGAGTAACAATAAACCCATACGTCTAAGGACAACAGAATATGCTTTATCTGAAACCCTACTTGTAATGGTAACAATAAACCGCTACGTCTAAGGACAACAGAATATGCTTTATCTGAAAACCTACTTCTAATGGTAACAATAACCCCCTACGTCTAAGGGCAACAGAATATGTTTTATCTGAAACCCTACTTCTAAGAGTAACAATAAACCCATACGTCTAAGGACAACAGAATATGCTTTATCTGAAACCCTACTTCTAAGGGTAACAATAAACCCTTACGTCTAAGGACAACAGAATATGCTTTATCTGAAACCCTACTTGTAATGGTAACAATAAACCCCTACGTCTAAGGGCAACAGAATTTTTTTATCTGAAACCCTACTTCTAAGGGTAACAATAAAAGCCTACGTCTAAGGTCAGCAGAATATCTAAGGGTAATAGAAAGTCCCTATTTCTGAGGGTAACAGAAAAGGCTTTATCTGAACTCTTACTTCTAAGAATAACAAAAAAGATGTTATCTGAATCCCTACTTCTGGTGGTTACAGAAAAGTCTTCATCTGAAACCCTACTTCTAAGGGCAATAGAAAAGCTCTACTTCTAAGGGTAACAGAAATGGATGTATGAGTATGTTTCCTCTTAACTTTTTACGCTCCTTATTTGCTTAAAAATAAAACATTGGAGGTTTCAAAAAATGTAAAGGGAAATTAAAATTAAAGAAAATTACTCTTTGAGGTTACCAAGATTAATAACGATTGAGCATGCTTCATCTAAAAAAAAAACAAAGAAAACGGCGCTATCCTTAATACAAATACTTCTCGTTTAAAAATAATGATTTAAGTGGCCGAGAAACATTGAGAAAGACCATTGTTTGTTTTATAATATTAGTTGAATATTTGTCAATCATTGAAAACCTTGTAGCTTAAACGTTAAGAGTATCTGGTAGGGCTTGTCTGGAGCAAAAACCTTGTTTCGAGTTAGACAGGGAACTTGTCTCTTAATATTTGAGATCGGAGATATTTACTCACTGCCGTAGACTGACGAACAGGGTAAAGCTGAAAAAGAAGCTTAAAAAATAATGTGAAAGAAAATTACTACTTAAAATCATAAATGGCTCACAATGTTATTAGTCCCGTGTTCTTTTTTGTCTCTTTTAGTGTACTTGTTGAACCTGGGGAGTTTGTGTGAACGGGAGAGAGGAAAATGGTAAAGAGCCAAACGCTGCTTAGAGCAGTAAGAGACGAGAAGTCGAGGAGACCCATGATCGCTCAGGTCCTGAAAACCGCTTTAATTAGGAACTGGATCCTTAGGCTTAGAGCGGGCCATGACTGTGCATGCCTCACATCTTCGGAAAATTCGTCCCGAAAGAAGTGCTTACTAAATAATCTAGAGGGGGTGACGGATTATTACCGCCAATTAATTGCTGACGTAAATACATGAATAGGATATTAAGAGACTAACGGAAAGTGAGGAAGGCAGCTAAACCGAATGACAGCCAAGAAAGAACACGAATCATAGAAAAGGGATAGATTTACAAACAACGAAAACTTGGCAAATAAAAGGCTCTAATCATGATACGCACCACTAATAACCGTTAACCTTGGTCTCCTATGGAGATAACTTCCGTTTTGCTGAGCAGAAACCGGATATTATAAATTCGAGAGGTGTTTACGCTTGCGCGGTGAACTTCGTTGTGAACCAGCAAGGAAACATGCGGGCCAAATGCAAATAATTAAAAACAAAAGCAAATAATTTAAATTAAATATCAAATTGACGCCATGATAATATGATTAACGGAGGCCTTTAGATTTTTCTTCTTTTAGTTTTTTCTTTTAATTGTTTTATTTATTTTATATTTTTTTTTTTTTTATCTCTTTATTCTTCCGATATTTCCAGCACCTTGGTTTGCGTTGATAGAGTAAAAAAATCTGGGGTTACACATACTTTAATGGGAAGATCCGATCGGTTGTTCTGTTTTGGTAAATTATTCCATACACCTTAATGAGACTAAATTTGGTGTTAGATATTCTTTAAATAGAACTGTCCCTCAGATGTTTTGTCTTTGTAAATTATTTCTTTCACGAATAAATAACAGCCGCATCTACTGCAAGGAAAGTTAGCTCACTGTGCCGTGCCAGAAGTTTTTCTCGTCAGAATCTATCCTACACATCACCAATCGTTTGTGCATTGAGTACTGTTACCATATCTGGTCTGGTGTCCCAGCTGTTCATCCCAAAGAAGTATCTGTAATGTAATCGATCCTTACTTTGCATCTCGACTCCTGTCACTTTCTTCTGTCTTTTCTACAAATATTTCCATGACTGCTATTCTGGTGCCCCGACTACATGAATTTAAGCGTGCTACTAGACTGGCATCTAGATCCCACTCTTTTCCCGTAAAAATAGTTAAATGTAACCGCACCGTCTACTCCAACAGCTTATTTTGTTGTACTTCCCGCCTGTGGAAATCCCTTCCGTTTACTTGCTTCCCTGATAACTACAATCTTCAAAAATTTAAATGCAACGTCAATCTGATGTCTTGAACCCCGTTCATCTTTTATCCTTTCCCCAATTCCCCCCGCTATACAGAGTTTTTCTCTTACTTACACACTATGCGAACAA